ATTAATAATTGAAATTATTAATTAAATGAGGATAAAATGGTAAATTCACACTTTTTTATATTTAAAAATATTAAAATTAAAAGAAAAATCAGATAATGGAACACAACTACTCATTATCTTTTTTAATTTTAAAATAAATTTAATTTTTTCTTTTAAAAAGCCTCTCGCAGATGCGGAAGCGCATGCAGAGAGGCTAGTATATACTTATAAGACAATATAAGAATATTTATATATGTATTGGAAGTTAACTAAATAAATAAGTAGTGTGACTTAAGATTTGTATAAATTATATAAGTATATAATATAATAATATAAAATATAAAACTTAGTTGGTACAATCACTTTAATAGCATATTTATATATAGCAATATATATACCTCATCAAAAAATTAATATATATTCTAAACGGGGAGGGTTCGGGTTGGGGATTAAAACACCATCCCTGCCCCTCCCCGAACACCATACCCAAAAAATTCCCCATACCCGATTTTTGTCCTTCATACCCGACCCATTAGGGTCGAATCCTCGCAAAGACCCTTACCCGCGGGGAAAATTGTCATCCCTAGATTGGTTTGGGAGTGGAGGGTGGTGGTCATGGGGAATGGGAGGAGAATAAAAACCTGGAGGAGAGCAGGGGTGGTGTAGGCTTAGGGGATGAAAATTTAGAAGGGGGAGGTGGGGGATTGGTTTGGGGGTAAAGGATGGTGGTCATGGGGGAATGGGAGGAAGAAGGGAGGAGATGGAAGGGGTTGGCATTAGGTTCACTCTTTTTCTTCAATATTTTCCAAAAAAATAATTTTTTAATTGAAAATTGGATGAAATGTTTAGAATTTAGATAGTAGGGGGAAATTGGCGAAAAAAAGAAGTTCATATCCTTAATTTTCTTAAAAAAATACAATAGGGAGTCAATCGAAAGTTATGTACAAGTTCAATGGGCAAATCACTAGTATACCCAATTTGCAATTAATCAATTTTATATGTCATGTGAAGCTCACGTGCACTCCCAAGGGGCGATCTCATATAATTCCTACACAGTTATAACCTACATCACACCCAAAGAATACACAGCGAGCCTAAACCTGATTGGTCCGTGACCCAAAGACCTCGATGAGTCGCTGACCAAGCCTTTGATCGAAGCATAAGCAACAATAGAGAGCAAGCGAGCGAGCGAGAGATCGTTAGGACCCAACTCAACAACACGACTCGGCTCACTTACCTGGTCCAAGATGGAACTTGCTCCACACGACCCGGGTTCTAAACTGCTCCGACCCGACGAACCAGAGCTCGACCTCTACACCATCCCAAGCCACTCTAGTAAGTTCCCTCCCCCTTTCCCTCTTTTAAAACAAAACCCTAACCCTAGCTTGAATTCAAAACCCTAATTGCTCCTCACGTTGGAACAAGCTCGGAAAAAGGTTTCCTGGGTTCTGTTTAGATTTTATGAAGTTATTTGTTAATGTATATAACAGAGGCCTAGGCCTGAGCTTTTTGTCTTTTATTTTCTCTCAGGCTGGTTTTCGTGGGATGAGATTCATGAAACTGAGAGAATTGCTTTGAAAGAGTACTTTGATGGAAGCTCAATTTCAAGAACGCCAAAAACATACAAGGAATACAGGGACTTTATTATTAGTAAGTACAGAGAAGACCCTTCTAGGAAACTCACATTCACTGAGGTTAGAAAGTCACTTGTGGGTGATGTTAGTTTGCTCCACAAGGTCTTTAATTTCTTGGAGAAGTGGGGTTTGATTAATTTCAGTGCAAATTTGGGTGTCAACGGTGGTTTTGGCATCGAGGGTGAGGAGAGGTCTAAGGTTAAGGTTGAGGATGGGGTCCCCAATGGGATCCGTGTGGCTGCGATGCCGAATTCAATTAAACCAATTTCACTCATTTCAGCTCCCCCTAAAGTTGGGGATGCTGGGGGTGGAGTTGTGAATAGAATTACTTTGGCTCCATTGGCTCCATTGGCATCATATTCTGATGTTTTTGGTGATCTAAAGAAGGAGGAGGGGTTGGTTTGTGGCAATTGTGGTGGACATTGTGAAACTGGACACTACAAGTATAGCAAGGTATTTTCACTGGTTCTTCAATTTTTGTTCTGTAGGAAATTTGTTTGTACTTAGTTTTCTGTACTGAAACTTAATTTAACTTCTGTATCTGTTTATCATATTTGGCAGGGTGATTTTCTAATTTGCATAAAATGTTTTGAAAATGGGAACTATGGGGAGAACAAATTGAGGGATGATTTCAAGTTAAATGAGGCAATTGAAAAGAGTGGTACTAACGGAGTGGAGTGGACTGAATCTGAAACTCTACTACTTTTAGAATCTGTTCTGAAGCACGGGGATGATTGGGAGCTTGTTGCTCAAAATGTTCAGACCAAGACTAAATTTGATTGTATTGCTAAGCTCATTGATCTGCCTTTTGGGGAGCTTGTGTTGGGTTCTGCCTACAGAAAAGGCAATCCTAGTGGCTTTAGTGGTAATTTGATCTCTTCAGAGCACATTCAGTTATCTTCATCTGAATGTCAAGAGACTGTCAAAACCAAAGGTCAGTTGCATGAGCAGACAGATGACAGCAAGCAGAATGGAGATATTTTGGATCAAGGCCCTCCTTTGAAAAGGCAGCGCATTGCTTCCCTTTCGGATGCTAGTAGTTCACTGATTAAACAGGTACGTACCTTACTGGCCTGATTTATAAATGTTTAACTTCTTGGTGAGCTATATTTTCGGACATCAGTTCTTGTTCAATTATATTTTTATGATACCAATTAAATTACTAAACTGGTTATTAGGGGTCCAGTTTAGTTTGCCAATGCTTTGACATATCATGGCTGAAAACACTATACATGCACGTATGAAAGAAGAAAGAAAAATGTTAAGAGGTTGATTTCATTATTTGTTTCTTTTACTTTACAAATATGCTTTTATACTATCATATGTCAACTGTGGTCCTTTGTTCTGTTTCTTTTCATTTCCTGTAATCTTAATATGCATAACAAAATACTAAGGTTGTTTCCATTAGGTAGCTGCCATAACAACCATGGTTGGTCCACATATTACATCTGCCGCAGCTGAGGCTGCCGTTAATGCACTTTGTGAAGAAACCTCTTGTTCAAGGGAGATATTTAATGCTGATGATGATTCTATTCCTAATGGCTTGTGGTCTCCTGCTAAAAATTGTGAGACAGAGAGGTTATTTATCCAACTGATTCCAACTGATTCCAACTGATGCTCCATATATACTTTTATTTGTTATTGTATTATGTTGATGTTAAAGTTCTGAAACTTCTTATTTCTTATCAATTTCAGAGCTCATGGTGAGGATTCAGAAATGAAGGAAAGGCCAACTCAATCAGGTATTTGAAGCAAAGTCAATTATATGACATGATTTGTACAGTTTCCTACAAACAACTTGGATTACAGGAATAAGGGAGAAGTTTTTACCGTAAATAATTATATATATTTGGCCTAATTTAAGTTAGTGTTTGGTGATTGTTGTTGGTTTCCATTACACTTTTCTCATATTTGTTTAGTCACCGTGTTATTTTGCTGGCGATCTAGTTATTGCATCATTTCAGTCCTAACCGTCTCTATTTGAATTTCTATATTTTCCAGAGAGTCAGCATGCAATCTTTAAAAAAGATGACATACCTCCAACTTTGCAAATTAGAGCTGCCATTGGAACAGCTCTTGGAGCAGCTGCTGCTCACGCAAAATTATTGGCCGATCAGGAGGATAGACAGATTGAACATCTAATGGCAACCATAATTGGGACGCAGGTATATATCGTAGTTTTATATTATTTTAGTTTGGTTCCCCTCCTTTGTCTCTGTGTTTTTGGCCCCTTTTGCGTGAGGGAGTTGATAGCCATGTGCTTTTCTCCCCATTTGTTGCAAGTCTTGCTTGCTGCATATGAACTTAATCCTTCTTTTTTCTTTTTGGGCATGAATGTTTATGTAGATGAAGAAGTTGCACAGCAAACTCAAGCATTTTGAAGATCTGGAGCTGATCAGGAAGAAGGAATGTGCTCAAATCGAAGAAGTAGAGGATATTCTAGTAGAAGAGCGGATTAATATCTTACAGAGGACATTTGATTCTGGTGTACCTAGATGGAGGGATCATCCTTCTTTAAAATCTTGAAATGTTTGTTGTATCTTTAGATGTAAAGTAGAGTAGAAACATAGACGACGAGAGCAGTGACGTGTCTTCTTAGTAAAGGCTGTTCAATTCTTTAGGTGTTTACTGCTTGGATTTATAATTCTTGCTGATTTTGGTGGGGGAGGGGTGGGTGGTGGGGGTGGTGGTGGTGGGGTGGTGGGGGTGGGTTAGCAAATAGGTGGATTTATAATTCTTGCTGATTTTGGTGGGGGAGGGGTGGGTGGTGGGGGTGGTGGTGGTGGGGTGGTGTGGGTGGGTTAGCAAATAGGGTTGACGAACAGAAACTTTGTACAATTAGGATCCTATCATTTCTTCAAATGCTAACATTCCAAGATTCAATGCAATTATGCAATTCCTTATTATGTTCTTCACTGTTGATCAGGTGTTATATATGATATTTGCATCTTCATGTTCTGCAATGTTGTGATTTTATAGCTCATACAAATGGTGATAAGATTTGTGATTGGATTGACAATGTGTCAAAATGCCAACTAAACACAAATTGAAATAATTTGCAACCTAAATTAAAAATTTGTTGCAATGTGTCACCTATAGTTTTATTTTGTTTACTTCTTCAATCTAAAAATTGCACATGATTCACATGTGACCTTGTTGAAAGGTCGAAATATCGATACTTTCTTTTTAAAAGATCACTTGCAAAACACATGCAATATTATGAGTAGAAAAATAAGGGTAAATTTCACTTCACTACCCGAAAGTTATATCAAAATTCAGACTTTGCTACACGAAGTTTTTTTCATCTCAATCTCAAGCCTAAACTTTGAATTTACTACCACTTTCATACCTCTATTAGTTTGACTGTCAAGTTTTCCGTTAAATGATGATGTGGCATTCATATCTCCATGTTGATTACTAAATTTGTGCCACGTGGACTAATAAATAATTTAAAACAATTTAAAATTTGTATTATTTTATAAATAATTAAAATTAATAAAGTTAAAATTTTAAAATCAAATGTATAAAAAACTTCGTATAGCAAAGTTTGAATTTTGGGAAATTTAAAGTGAAATTTTACCCAAAAAAGAAAGAAGCTAAAGTTGGAATGGGCCGGTTAGCTAAGCTCGGTCCAATTTATACCTTTACCGCCGAAAAACTGAAAAGTTCAAATTCACTTCCCTGTAAAACAAACCGTCGTCTCTAAAAACCCCTCCAAAATCCCCAAAATTTTTCTGCTACCAAATATGCTCAGAAGACGTCTCAGGCTCAGCTACTCTTCCGACGAAGAAGAACAACCACAACCACAACAACACCAGAATGAAGAACCTCAGCCACAATCGTCAGCTGTCACCCACCCACCAGTTACCCTATCCCCTCCAAACCCTTACCCCTCCGAACCGCTCCCAATCACCTCCGACGACGACGAGTTCATCGATGTCTCCGACAACCTCTCGTCGCCGTCACCGGAACCCGAGAGCGACAATCGACCACATCCTCCACCGCCGGCTCAGGATCCGGCACCGGAACCCATTAACCGGCCGCCTCCACCTCCACCTCCATATCCACCGAGCTCCGGCGGGTGTCCGATAAGCGAACATCTCCAGGGGTTAGGGTTAAGGCTAAAGAGGGAGTGGCTCGATGCTTGTGTCCATGGACTCCAGCAATCCGTACCGGGATTTCAAAATTTTGATGTGGAGACGAAGGCGAAGCTCTGCTTCGAGCAGTTTTTGTTTTCGGATATGAATCTGTCCGGCGGAGGCGTGCTTCCAGAAAATGTGGCTTCTCTCCATCTCGTCGATCTTCCCGGACCTTATGTGTTGCAGGTCAAGCTTGAACTTTTTGATGCGAATTAACAGAACAATGTGAACTTGAAATGTCATTTGGTAATGACAATATATACAGGCGAACCTTTATTTTATTTTATTTTTGTTGCAGGTTGATGAGATTGTTAATATCAGCAATCCTCTCAAGATTAGGTATCAGAAAGCCGCTGTTGGACTGAAGAGGTGTCTCAAGTTGTCCATAACAGACGGTGTTCAACGCGTCTTTGCCATGGAATATAGGCCTATTCAGGCGCTTGAAGCTTTGGCTCCTGCTGGTTTGAAGGTTTATTTTTCTCTGGCTATCTTCGTTACTGAAAATGGTTTCACTTCATGGGGTTATTCCATTTATTTTTGTTCAAATGTTTGACAGTTTTTTTAGTGTCAAGAAAGACAAATTGTACTGGTAGATTAAACCCTTTAAGGCTTATCTGCTCTTCTGACTCAAACACAGATTATCCTATTAACCTCTAGGTTGCTATGTGTAATGTGCATATACGCCACGGACTTCTTATGCTGGTCCCTGAATCTGTTGAAGTTCTAGGAGGATTAGTTGAGGAACTGGATGCTGCACGTCAACGCCTTGTTGATGAAGTAAATAAGCCACCTAGGGGAAACAGGTAACTATAAAGTGTATAAGATATGTTAGTGGTGTTAAAGGTTTACAACTTACTAGTGTTCATGTCAAACCATGAATTGTCAAACAATAAAGTATAACTTATTCCATGACTAGATAACACTTCTACTTCTAAAAGCTCTTGCAATGTAGAAGTTTATAGTGGTATTGGATAAACAGGTTTGAAGTTAACTTGGTCCGATATTGGATTACAGACTGCATGCTTGGTTCAAAAGTATTCATGTTGGCGACTGCAAGATGAATTGTTTTCTTTGGTGAGGAATAACTTACATCAAGATTGTTGTGACTTTAGACTATTCTGGAAAAAAAAAAACATTCATGTTGCAGTTTAAGCTCAGAAACATGCTGGTCAATCTTGATTTTTCTTTCTCGCCCCCGCTCCTCTTTTTTCTTTGGGTTCACAATTTCTTTAAGTAAGGGAATGCTGGACTACAACTGATCACTTCATTACATTTATTACAATTTGCACACTTGCACAAAGTATACCAAGCCGATGAGCTTGATACTTTTGTGTTATTGTTATGCAGAACCAGGAATGGAGTGGTTCCTCCTCTAGGTACAAGGTTAACTCTTGCTGCATGGCCTCCTAACCGTGTTCATGATGCTGGACACACCAATAGTTCAACAATGGAAGCCCCAACCCCATTTCAGGCGTCTAACCAAGGTATATAGAGGGCTCCATTTACTTGTTTGTTGTTGGCTCTAGATGGATTTTTAGAGCATAAGCGGCTCATGTCTAGTTTCTTGGAATTTCTTGTCTCTATAAAACGTAGAATCAGGGTGACTCCATATGTATGTGTCAGAGAGAGTCATATAAGATAGCAGCTCTAGTTAGTTCCTGTCGTTACATTACGTTTTTCCATTATGTTCTAAGTTAGTTCTGTTGCATCCTTTCTTGAATTGTAGGTGCTACATTCTCTGTATCAGCCAGAAATACCAGCTCTGTATCTTCTAGAAACACCAGCCCAGTGACTGGCGAAGAATCTACTGTTCCTCTCAGTGGAGAACACTCTGTTGTTAACCCATCATCTACTGATGTATTTGGTGTTGAAGAGATGCCTATGGATACTACTCCCTATAGCAGAAGAAATGCTATTCCCAACCCATTATCTGATGATTTTGGTGTTGAGAATCTCCACATAAATAGTGCTGGTCATAGCAGGGAAAGTAGAGTACCTGAAAATGTCATTCCTAATCCATCCTTCGAGGATGCTTTGGATGTTGAAGATGTTGAAATGGATGCCATTCATATTGAGGGCGAAAACCATACCTCAGATTCTATTTTGAATGATGAGGATATCAATATGATTAACGAGGGCGAAACTCATGGGGCTTACCCATCGTCTGATGCTATTTTGAATGATGAGGATATCAATGTGGTTAATGAGGTCGAGCGCCAAGAAATACTATCCGGAGACCACGAACCACCTTTCAGTTACCTATGTAGTTTGTCAGCCAAGTTAGCTATGATGAAGAACACTCATTCAATCCAGGGGAAGGTTAAGGTGCGTATGGTTTTCTATTATTTTTATTTCCATAAGATGATAGATTTATAGTTACTATATTACTGAAATTTAGACATAATTTCTGCAGTGTGTTTTGACTGGTGTGAAGAAGTTCCAATACACGCATACATATGAGCTTCAGGCGTATGTTGATGACGGCACTCTCATTAAAGAAATTCTCGTTGATCACAATGTAAGTTAGAGCTTTTGGGGGGTGTCATCCATGATGACCTATACTTGTTGGAGTTCGATATGTTGATTAGCTGTTTGTGCTCTTCAGGTTGTACAGGAGGGGATAGGTCATTCTCCTGAGGAGGTTAAAGCTGCCATTTCTTCTCCAGACAAAACAATAGTCCGTAACATGAAGGAGAAAATGAAGCAGTTTCAAAAATTCTTAACAAATTTTGAGGTAATATACCTACCAAGTACCAAGTCAATTTTCAGTTTTTGACCTTATTCACAATCGTTTCATCAGTTCTTCTATCTCTTCATCATATTGGAGTTTTATGTTTCAGGGCATAATGCTTATAGAGATGAGATTGCATGATCTTCCAATTGCCCTTGAGATGAAGCAGGGTTGTACTCAATCTGATGCGTGGTTGCTTTTGAGGAGAATAAAGGCCTCCCCTCCAGCTCGGGCATCAGGGCAGTCCTCCCCTGGGGCTCGAACATCACAGTATCCTTCCTCTCCAGTTCGGACTTCACAACATCTCTCCTCCCACCCCATTGATATATCCCCTTGATAATCTAGCTTATAGCGCTGGCGTTGCTATTGCTTATAATGGAAATGAAATTGGCGTGTGGTTCCATGGTCAATGCTGCATCATGGAAAAGATCCGGATTTGGATGAAGCTCTTGCTTGCAAAAAATGGATGCTGTGGCGGCCACAGAAAGAGTGTTTCTGAACGTTATCTCAGCTATTTCATTGGAGAACACAAGTGTTAAAAGATGAGGAAGATAATAAGAAAATTATTGTAGGTAATTGAATATAAATTTCTTAAGTTTTGTGCCCAAAATACCCTTTTATTTGGTTTTTTGGGGGTCAGTTTTTACTTGTCTAATAAGGTGTATCGACACCTCACCGGGACTACGTGTTGCTTCCTTTTTCATGCAACGCTGCTACGTTGCAAATTTCTGTTGACCCTTCCATTCCAAGTATATATATAGAGATAAATTAATCAGAACAAACAGCACTTCAATTCCTCTGTGTTTTTTTTCTTTCTGAAATTTCTGTATGCAAATTAATTAAAGAAGCCATGGATGATATCATTAACAAGGTACTCAACGTTATAATTCCTCCCATATCCCTCACCTTCTTCCTCTTCCTTCTGCCACCCTATCTCTTTTACAAGTTCCTCCTCTCCGCCGTACGATCTGTTTTCAGTGAAGATGTGGCTGGAAAAGTCGTCCTCATCACTGGAGCTTCCTCTGGCATAGGAGAGGTACATATATTTTGGACCACCAACCTGGCACTTTTAAATGTAACATGAAATTTTCATAATTATTTCCCAAATTCCCAATTTAATGAGGTACTTACTTTTACAATTATGTTTGTGTTAATTTGATGGGGTTTTTGAAGCATATGGCATATGAGTATGCTAGAAGAGGAGCTTGCCTAGCTCTTGTTGCCAGAAGAGAAAACCTGCTCCAATCTGTGGCTAGCAGAGCCATGTCCATTGGCTCCCCAGATGTTCTTGTAATCCCTGCAGATGTTTCAAAGGTGGAAAATTGTAGGCGCTTTGTCGATGTAGCAGTGAACCACTTTGGGCGTTGTAAGTGCAATTAATTAATTAACTAATTAGTTTTCTCAGTTTAATTATATTATTCGTATAATTATTATTCTCTCATCCGAACATTCACGTTTTATTACTGTGGATGATGACATGGTCCGCATAGGAGAATTTCTGGTTATTCGTATGTTTATTTATGTGGATTAATTCTTGATAATTAATTACAGTGGATCACCTAGTCAACAATGCTGGGATTACTCCAGTCTGCTTGTTTGAAGAGAACACTGATGTCACTAAAATAGCACCAGCTATGGTAATTATTTGAATACAATTATAATGCCTTCATTGTTAATTAACGCTATATATATGTATTGTTTAGTGAATTCTGTTGGTCATGAAATTAAGCTGGAAATTATATATGTTTGTGATTGAAATTAGCGCATGCTCCACTTTGTTTGATAGGACACAAACTTTTGGGGTTCGGTATATGGCACCTACTTTGCCATTCCACACCTTAAAAGGAGCAGAGGGAAGATCGTGGGGATCGCTTCCTCAGCCGGATGGTTGCGCGTGCCACGACTAAGCTTGTATGGTGTAAGTAAAGGAACCAATTAACCTCATGAACAAGCTAATTCAGTACTCAAATCTCTAATTACTGTGTTTATATGTGATTATCCTTCATTTATTACTTCTCTAATTTCACATTGGGTTCAGGCTACCAAATCAGCTGTGATAAGCTTCTATGAGACGCTGAGAGTTGAAATTGGGAGAGAAGTTGGAATAACAATTGTGACTCCAGGTTTGGTGGAATCAGAAATGACCAAAGGCAAATTCTTATCCAAGGAAGGCCAACTGGTATTGGATCAAGAATTGAGAGATGTAAGCTTAATTAATTATTTTGGTTATTGTGTGATTATAGAGTTCAATGGTATTAATTTCGAACACCCCATGTTAGGTTGAAGTAAGCATAATGCCAATACTGCCTGTCAAGGAGGCTGCCAAATCAATCGTGGACAGCGCATGCCGGGGAGAAAATTACTTGACAGTACCAGCTTGGGTTTGGCATTCATTTTACTGGAAGGTGTTTTTCCCAGAGTTACTGGAATGGTCTAACCGTATGTTACTGATGAGCAAAGGGAGCGGTGGCGAGAGGGATACAATAAGTAAGAAGCTCCTGGACCTAACCGGCTTGAAGGAGTGTCTGTATCCGGAATCGGTTCGATAGATATCCTGAGCTTAAGCAACGATGATCATTGAGGAACCTTTTCCAGATAAGCAAATGTAGTTTGCTATTTAATGTCATTCTCAGCACATAAATAAATTACAGTTTCTATCTGTCTCAGAAGATAAAAGGAACATACTCAATCTAGAAGACAACAACACACTAAATCTAGAAGACAACAGTATCAAGCATTGCTCCAAAAGTCTGGCCTATGTTTGAGGACATCAAGTTGGAGACAAGTTGCTCAAGGTGTTTCTTGGCATCTTTCCTTCCCACCTTAGCAATTGCAAGCTTCTCTGGTTCATCTTCCTCCTCGTATTCCTCCTGCACTGCGGTGATGTATTGCATAGCCAAGGTTGACATTTCCTGCGAAACCGAATGAAAAAAAAATACCATGAACACTAGACCTCAATTCAAATCAGCTCACACTTTAAACTATGCTGAAAAAATTCCAACACTTATTTCTTCTGTCAAACAGGTCTTCATTTTGTCACGAACTTTTAACCAGGTAAACAACATTGAGATGAAGATTTAGTGGTTTTTCTAAAACTGAAAATCATAGTATTTCTGGACAGTGACAGGCCAAGACATTACATTAAACTAAAATCATTGAGATGAACTTTCTTACCTGAATAGTTTGCTCATTTGTTTTTGAATGGACATCAAATGGCTTGAGCATCAGCCCATCAGTCAATTTCTTCTTCTGACGAAGGCTAAGCAGCATTTTCTCCTCAAGTTCATTCCTCCCGGAAGGCATCAATCACCACTTTTAATTGGATCCACCACCACCGCTACCGCACGCGGATGCAAAGCTTCAAAGCTCTGGAGAAGATTTACAGGCATATGATAAGAACCAACTAACAATTAACCAGAAAGCAGCCATTGAATCAAACCAATTGAGAACAGTCAAAAGAATATAATCTCTATCAACCATATGGAATTTTCTAACACAACATTCATATACTCATAGAAAAATTGTATAAAGCTAGAACCTGTTGGGTGTTCATATCCACAGAAGATAACCAGCAGCCAAACCCAGGATGTGAATGGTGTTGTGAAAATGGACAAACACTTTCACTCACTCCCCTAATGATCTTGTTGTTGATGGACTTTATGACAAACACAAGGATGGATGAATCACACACACACACTTGAGAAACCAACCAAGCACAAAGTGACACAAGAATTTATAGAGGTTCAGCAATTGCCTACATCCTCTTGGTGATCCCCTTGAGAAATTCACTAATGAAAGAATAAGTTACAACTTTGGTTTACAAAGAAACCCCCTTAGAACTCTATTCTCTCCCAAGCTCTCTTTTCTCTTTCACCCATTGCTCAACACTTTGATACACTTGTGAACACTCTCACACACTTGGTGTTTCCCTCTTTTGGTGTCTAGACACTCAAGACCCAACTCAGCTCTCTCTTGACTGATTGCCTTCTCTCTCTTCCTCCCTTGGTGAGATAACCTCCCTTTGAACACAATAGCTCCCAGCTACTTGACAACTTTTAGATTAACCACTACTTGTTGTCTTGCATCTTCTTTTCTTTTGTAGGCAGACCTTTGGACTTAGTAGAGGGCTGCAATTACTCCTTCACGTTCTTGCTTTCAGCTACCTTGAAAAACGCATGAAAAAACGAAACAGCACTGCGGGCGACCGGTCGCGGATACATTGCGACCGGTCGCTGATACCTTTTGGATACCTTGCGACCGGTCGCTTCCTGCGAATTCTTCAGACTTCGAATCTGCTTCAAAACGACCGGTCGCAAATACCCAGTGACCGGTCGCTTCCTCCTTCACTTGCATACTTAATGTGAGCCATTTTTCCAACAAATGGTACCACCCTACAACCTGCTCTGCCCTGCAGTTTGAATCAGAAGAAGATTAAGCTAATTATAAGGAGGTAGAAGCGTAATTAAGCTAGATAATCTAAGTGAAACTGAGATTAGTACCGTCCAGTCTGCTTAACCATGTCGAGCATCTTAGTCTGGAAGGCGTCATCTACGGCTTCCACACTAACGGCGGTACCACTCTGCGGCATTTTAATGGTGTCGACGACGTCGATTCTGTACTCGTCGGGAAACTCTCCGAGCAACAACCCCATCACCTCCATAGGAACGCCAGCTCTTGCTATCAAATTTCATATAATTAAAGAAAGATTAAAAACAATTAATTTGCATAAAATTTATTAAAAAAAGAGAAGAAGAAGAAGAAGGAGATGGAAGAAGCAAACGCACCATGCTTGAGCATGTTGAGGAGGACTTTGGGGCGGATGAACACCTTCTCGGAGGTGTCCGGCGTTGGGAAATCGGAAGGTAGGTGGCCGGCGAGCATAATCCTTCTCTCCATTCTCTCTCTCTCTCTGTTTCTTTTCTTTCTGAACAAGTTAGAAAAAACAGAAAAACTCAGTGAGATGTGAGAGAGAGGAGGGCGGGGTTTATATAGCGTAATAAAAACATTTTTACTTTTCTGATCTGACTAGGCAAGATTTTTCACTTTCCTGATCTCTGGGTAAGTCTTCGGGTTTATTTGTTCCATTTGGGCTTCATGGGCTTTTTCTTTTTGGGCTTAATGTTAGTAATTTTACCAATTATGTGGGAAAGCTTTATAAGCGCACCCAAATGTTTTCTTTAGAGACCCACCATTTAAAAAAAAAATTCTAACTCTAAATTCCAACTCTCTTGAAAATATTTTTTTTTACAAAAAAGGAAATACTAAAAATAATAATTTGTTGGACCTTCGTTCAAAAGGGATATGAGTAATGTGATAGAAGTTAGTACAGTATTACATTGTAACAGAAATTAATTAATGTTTCTCCTAATTAATCATCTTTAATTGAAGTCCCTGCTGGGTTCTTCTTGGTTGCCATTAGCTGGAAAAGCTTCTCAAGTAGCTCAGGGCAGAAAATCCTCAACCAGAATCCGAACCTGACCCAAGCTGGCTCTGTTAGGCACCTGTCTCCACGGCAAGCACTGTCCACAATTGCCTTTGTGCACCCTTCTGTTGACTTACTTGGCGTCAAATTTGAACGAACCTAACACAACACATATATCATCACATACACAACGCAATTGTAAAATGTTACTTCAATTTCAGTTCAGATTAACCATCAAACGAAAAAACGTTAAATAAGGGTTTAACTTTTAAAAGCATAGTGCCAATGACATCTAATTGACTAATATATATGCTCAATAATTGTAAACAAAACTCGTTTGGGATTGCTTCTCTAAGAAGCACTTTTGTTCCTAATCGCTTCTCACAAAAGCGCTTTAATTATAAAAATATTGAAATTTTCACAAGAAATCTAAGTGCTTCCTAGAAAAGCACTTGAGAGTATTTCCTGAAGAAACACATAGCAGATGCTTATCTAGAAAGTGCTTCTACAACCTAAAAGCGCTTCTAACATTTCCTTCCAAATGCTATTGGAAACACTTTTGGTTGTCAAAAAGCGCTTTTAGCCTCCCAAACAATTATCAAACCAGAATTCTAGCAAGTTGCTCTGTAGAATTCAAATCTATATTTGGAGGATATATTTAAATACTGGCAGAGCCCCACATGATTTGATTACCTGTGATAAAAATTGGCTGCTTCTTGTCATCTCAGACTCAATCACCCCTGGGCTCACAATTGTTATCACAATATCAGATCCCAGTTCAGCCCTCAATGTCTCAAAGAAGCAAGTCAGGGCTGCCTTGCTTGCCTGAATTAGCCACCAAATTAATAACCAATTAGCAAAACATAATTAACATTAACAAGGGTGTTAGATAAAGCAAACTATATACTATAGAGTCATATATATATATATATATATATATATATATATATATATATAATTTCTTACATTGTAGAAACCAAACTTTGGTGTAGAAAACCATGTTGCACATGAAGAAATTACAACAATCTTCCCTTTGCTTTTTCTCAAGTGTGGAAGTGAGAAATGGGTGCAATAGACTGAACCCCAGAAATTTATGTCCTACACATCAAAGTCATACATGAATTAGCTGACAGCCCTCTAAACTTGAAGCTTAATTACATTTGAAGGGCCTAAGCAAGGCTAAGTGGGTTGATTAACACTTTTTATGGTCACAAATTTCAACAGAACAACAAATCATATGCATGCATTTAAGTAGAAAATAATACCATAATCGAAACCAACTTAGAGAATTGGCCTTGTGTCCAATCTTCAAACGAGCCAGCTTGCAGAACCCCGGCATTGTTCACCAAATGATCCACTGTTATTGCACATAAAAAAAAGAAGAAGGAAAAGCAAAAACCATGCATCAATTAATTAGCAGCTTTGATATTCATTTTGATTTTGATAATTTTAAAAGCCAAAAGGCATAATTCGTTTTGTGAGAAACTACTCACATTGGCCAAAGTGATTGACGGTTTCATTAACAAGTCGATTGCAGTGTTCAAGAATTGAAACATCAGCTGGGAGCACAATGGCATCTGGAGAGCCTAGCCCTCGAGCTTTATCGGCCACCGCCCGAAGGCGGTCCTCTCGTCTGGCTGCCAACGCCAGACGAGCTCCTCTCTTTGCATACTCATATGCCAAATGCTTCAAATTAAGAAGAAGGAAAACATTGTATAAGATTTTTTTTTTCTTTCAAAAAAAGGTACAAAATAATAATATATATGTATATGTGTGTATGCGATTAATTTGTTACCTCTCCAATACCTGAAGATGCTCCGGTGATGAGGACAACTTTGCCGGCCATATTTTCGATGGATTTTGATCGACGCATGAAACTAATAAACTTGTAAATGAGAAAAGGTGGAAGAAAGAAAAGCAATCCAATGAATGTTAGTAGAGGGACTGCTACGTTCAACACTTTGTGAATCAAATCCATAGCTGCCTAGCTTCTTCTCTCTAGCGAGTTTGCAAGTATTTAGTCTCAATCAGAGAGAGAGAGAGAGAGAGAGAGAGAAGGGATCTTGTTGAAGATTGCCATTATCTTGAGGGTATGAGGTTAACGATATTGGCATATGCGCATCCTGCGCCACATATTTCCGTACAGTTAACGGAAAATGTTAATATATTTACTAATTACTCGTTAAGAACAATTATATCGCAATTACAAAAGTGTTCCTTCTAAATCACAAGGACTGGTAATAGCAGTATTGAACCATGTTCGATTCTCAATTAGTTAATGAAGTTTGATTGGCAAAAAGACTGTGATAAACTAAAACGAATTGTGTTAATATGAAAAATACTCATGAAAAGACTCTCGTCGATCATAATACCGACAAATAGGTTGAGAAATGTTATCTTCAGTTTTTTTGGGCTTTCCTTCCATCTATTTTCACTTAATTGGTAAGCGAGTGTTTTTCTTTTTCCCTTTTCTTCGCTTGAGACAACATATTTGGTATATGTCATAGAGGCATCAATTGAGCTGGTCCCTCTATGAGTGTCACATGGATTGCCAATAGTTAGGCTTTGCCAACAGTTCCCCATGTACATCAGTTTGGCTTGTACAACACGTGGCATGCCTTGGTGGCACATGTGCTGGCAAGGGTTGGCAATGAGTCCTGTCGTGTCGGGTTTGTATCGTGTCAAGATTATATACATGTCAAGAATGTTAAATCCAAACCCAATCCGTTAATAAACGTGTTATTTTTGGATTGACCCATTTTTTTCCCGTGCGGATTTCGGGTCATTTCGAGTTGACCCACTAAATGGTAGCAAATAAAAAATAAATAAAATCTAAATTTTAATAAATCAAATAATTGCATTTTTTATTTTTTATATAAAATAATTATTGCATTTTGCCTCTCTATATATAAAGATTGAGAATGAGAAATAAAAAAAAAATAAAAAATGAAGAAAAAAAAAAGGGGAGATTCACTATTATACCCAATATAGGAGCCCAAATTATAAATAAAAAACCTTATATGAAATGGACTTTAGAAACACACCCAAACCCCATTTACAACATAACAAAAAGGCTTTTAACTTCTTTTTAAATTACAAAACTGCCGTTGATTTCTTAAAACAAACTCAACCCCAAAACCTCATAAAAAAGCTCAAAACACTCAATAAGGCATCAAAGTAATTTAATAATCAAAATTAAATTCAAAAGGGTCAACTATCATTTTTTGAGTTTTTTTTGGGTTTGTTTATATAAATTAAATAGTGTATGGTTTATTTATAGTTTTAGTGCTAAGAATGGGTATATGACAAAATATCTCAACAAAAAAAAAATAGCAGGTTACATAGGTATTTTAGAGGATTTGCGGGTTATATAGATATTTTAGCGGGTTTATAGGTTAACTTGTTTAATAAACTGGTTAAACAGGTGTCGGGTTGGTAGATTACATAGGTATTTTATCGGGTTAGCAGGTTATATAAGTATTTTAACAAGTTGACAGGTTAATCCGTTTAATAAACGGATTAAACAGATATTTTAACAAGTTAACAGGTTGACCCGAAACCCACCCATTTATAAACGGGTCACTGATGAATTGACTCGAAAATAACCCATTTTTTAATCGTGCGGGTTTGTATCGTGTTTTTTCCGTGCGAGTTTTGAGTCGTGTAACAAATCGTATTGGAAATTGCCACCCCACAGTACATACATAGACAACAAGTGAGATCAAAAAAGCATCTCCTTTATTGGCTAAAAACATAAAACACAACACAATTTTAACCACATACAATCCAACACACATAAAACACAACACTCTATTTCACATAATATACAAAACCCAAAATCCCAAGTAGACAACTTCAATCTGTCTTGACTTCAGGACTGTGGAGGGTTTCAGGGTAGAGTACGTTCTTGGCTCCAGTGTAATCCAAGATCTTCTTGCTTGGTGCTTCTTTGGCCGAAAAGCCTGGCCTTGTCACGTACATCAATCTGTAACCCCACTCCAGCAGCTCAGGGCAAAACACCTTCCATATATATGTCACCCCGAACCATGCTGGCTCTGTCAAGTACCTGTCCCCACGGCACACACTCTTCACTATTGCTTTTGCACACCCTTCCACTGACCCAACTGGAGTCGCACTTACTTGAGCCTGCACAAACAATGAACATTCATATTTACGAAGATAAATCTTGCCCCTAAATTCAAGCAAGTACCGATCGATAATCAATGGCTTAGATTCACAGTATGGATAGATGTTAATTAATCTTGACCTAAATTCAAACAAGTATCGAGCGATGATCAATGATTTAGATTCACAATATGAAAAGAGATTAGTTAAGAATTAAATAGTAGAAAGGAAAAGAAATAGCTTTTACATCTCTCAAGTCTTGATCCACTATCATCTTGCCGTCATCACTCATTAAGAATTTGCCTTGGGTGAGCTCAGACTCTGTGTATCCAGGAGTTACAATTGTGATTTGGATGTTTGGGCCAAACTCAATCCTCAGTGTCTCAT